TGACCAGCTGTCGATTGGCATTCTTGTTGACGCTGTTTCCGAGGCAATCTCACTGGATTCCGGTGAAAAGGTGGTTGTGTCTTTTCATCAGGTATTTTTTAATATATTTTTTTGATGTGTTAGAGGTAGAGTGGACGATCAGAGTTTGTAGTGTTATGTGTTTGTTGATGCTGTTTTTCTGTGGAACATTAAGTCTTTTTTTTGCGATCACTATTTTTTCAGTCGAACAGTCCTGTGCTATTTAATTGTTGTTTTTGTGTTTATTATGTGTGGCTGGGTGCTAAGACACAGGTTTTTATTTTCTTTGTAGTTATTTGTTGATTCTTTATTATTCAAACTCCGATAGATTGCGTGCTGGCCCAATCACTATGTTGGTTTCTCATGTTGGTGATGTTGGTTTTTTTATTTCAGTTGGCTACGGTTTTACATGCAAACAATTTAGTGGTTGGGTTTTATGCTTATCCATTGTGGTGATTGTGTTGACCGTTTTGTGGTTGTTAGAGGCATGTGGTTTGTGTCCGTCATATGACGAACATTATCAGAGAACGGTATCATCGTCACAACAAAATGCAAGCTAACGAGTCGAGCAAACTCACCGGCAAATCCCCAAAACGTGGTATAGCTACTCTACATCTGGCTCACTCTTTCTCTCTCGCATTGAGACCAAAAAGAGAAAATAGGTTCATCATCAAAACCAGACGAGTGTCCGACCTTGCTCAGTCGGAGTGATGGTTATAACTTGAATGTAGAAAGGGGGAGATTGTGATCATCACACTTTTGCTGTCCTCATTATTTTGAGCCATCCCTGCGGCTTTCGTGCATACGCGAACACAAACAGCAGCATACACATACAAAGACAGACATATGACCGTAACTAACCAGATGTAGAGTGTATATACCACTTTTTAGGGATTTGCCGGTGAGTCTTCTTGACTCGTTGGCTTCAAGTTGGTTGTGACGATGCTACATGACGTCGAAGAGATCGACTCGGAAACAGCTTCAGCAATCGCCAACTGGTCAAGCGGAATCCGCCATCATCTTCTGGTGGCAGCGACCTTCGAGTCTCTTCACGCAACACTTTCACTCGAAACGCAAGTAAGCTCCACAAACAGATGCGGACGGAGCAAGTTCAACTGCAACTGGAAGAAGGTCGTGAGCAAAAGTGAACAACTCAGTCTGATTGGCTGAGCCGTAGCAACCGAAAGTAGCGTCGCATGGAGGAGGAGTCGGCCGAGCAGAGGTGGCCATTGGTGGGTGGAAAGAGGTGGAAACTTACTGGTCAGGATGTTGACCGCCTCTTGGAGGGCTCCAATTGTCGGCTGCGGAGACCAGAGCGGGCCAGCAGAGTTGGCGCCCACCGGACCGGCTGCCGAAGAGGAGTGGAGCCGAGCCGGCCTCAGGTTCCGTCCAGACCTGGCGGCTCCGTCGATGCGCCACACGCCCGCCTCGGACGCGCCGGCAGCTGCGGCGGGACTCGAGCCCGAGGCCGAGCCAGAGCCGGAGCCGGAGCCGGAGCCCGAACTGGTCGGAAGTGCACGCGACTGTTTCACTCTGTTGGCCGCGGTTGCCGTGGCGAGGGTCATCCGAGCACCCCTCCCCTCGAGGCCCGAGGCCCAGGGGGGCGGCAGCGAGGCCGGCGCCGACTCGGAGATGGAGCGAACTCCGCGTCGCGGCCAAGCCGACAACATTCCGAAATGCAGATCGCGCGTCCGCGTTGCCAGCAACTCGATCTCGGCGTAGATGTCGGCCAAAGCTGCGGGACAAGGGGGGGAGGGCAAACCGGCAGATGAGCCTGTATGAAGGTCGATCGGCCGAGGTTTATCGGCGCGTGTCCCTTCCTTCATTCACACAAAGCGAAATGCGCGTCTCTTCAACACCGGCCGGTCGGTGGGAGTCGAGCAATGTGCAACGGAGTTGGACGAGGAGGAGGGCTTTAGAGAAAACTTGGAGCCCGGCTTGTGGGTGCGATCCCTTTTTGTGTGTGTAAGTATGCTATCAGATGTATGAATTGAAGGACTTGAAGTTGACTTTTCCCACAATCATGTGACTAGAGCTGACGTTTCCATTCAATTTCACAGAGCCTTGCAAAACCCCCAGCGGGAGTCGAACCATGACAGAAGGGAATGTAATCTCGACACGGTAACTACTACGCCACAGGGTCACAGGGCAGATGTGACTTGCAAGGAATGTCAACTATTTTCCATATCACATTGTGTGTTGTGAAAGTGTCGAGGAAGCGAACCTATATTTGCTATAGCAATCGAAGATATTACTTTTTCCGCAAGTGAGTAGGCTGTATGAGATGCGTTAAAACAATTTCGTTCAAGC